TTATATATATGTATATATATTACTGTATGTCAGGTATATATATATAATTGATTCAATATACATATAGTTATACGTTATATATATGTATATATATTACTGTATGTCAGGTGTATATGGTCCCAAATTTCTGAGTGCCCTTCCTAAGGTTGCTGTATGGTTTTATCTCGGCTGTGTTAACAATGGACACTTTCTGTTTTACTTCTTAGTTCCAAGTTTGTGCTCCTTCCGCTATGGATTATCTGTCCTCTTGCATTTCTGTAACGTTGTAATCACAGCACAGCATATGTGTCTGAGCCTCACAATGGTAGCCATGGTGAACAGCACAGATGCTCACGGTTTGCCCAACACCTCCACAGGGGAGCACCTGGATCACAGAAAGGTATACGAAAAACATTATCCATAGTCCCATGTTTAAAATCCTATCTTGCTCATTAATTTGTGCAGAGATTGAATGTTATCATAATTGATGGGACAGTAATCCTTACAAAAAGAAGTTCAAGTCTTCACCTGTCTTGCTAGTAGTAACCTAACTAAACATGTCCCATGATTAGAGCACGCCTTAATGTTTGTGAAGGGCTTTGTTATGTGAATCCTTCTATGTGAAGAAGAATAAAAACTGAGCATTGGGGTCCCTAGAATTGAGAACTTTGGATAAGAGGAAAAAGAGAAAGCATTTCAAACCAGAGCAGAAGTAAAGACATGTTGTTTCTTTAAAAGTTTTTGAATATGCAGTATATTTACATGCTTCACTAATTTCATCTCTGGAAGGTAATGAGTTGCTACCTGTCAGAAGATGTAGAACAGGAAAAAAGTGGAAATGAATGGGAAGAATATTTTTTTCACTCTACTCTTCCTATGTTCTGTTACGAATGCACAGGCAAACATGAACATACTTTCTTATTGTCACCTTTTTTACATTAAAAATAACACTTTATATGCGATGTACTGCACCTTAGGTTTTTTTTTAACATAATCATCAGAACTAGGCTTAGATATGACACATATGTAGGAATTCCCATACAGGGAATTTAAAATAACTATAATTAATATGTTAAGTCTCTAATGGAAAAAGTTGGCAACACATAACACCAGATGGGTAATGTCAGTAGGGATGGAAATTATGAGAATGAATAAAAAAGAAATAGAAATCCAGGCAACTGTAACATAAATAAAGAGTGCTTGACAAGCTCATAAGTAGTCTCAATGTAGCTGAGGGAAGAATCAATGAACTTCAATATGGGTCAATAGAAACTTCTCAAGCAGAAATGAAAGAGAAAGGAGGGGTTAGGAGGGAAGCTTAACAGAATATCCCAGAATTGTGGATAATATCAAAGGTATAGGGGCGCTTGGGTGGCTCAGTTAGTTAAGTGTCAGACCCTTGCTTTCGGCTCAGGTCATGATCTCCTGATCATGAGATTTGGCCCAACGCCAGGCTCCACACTCAGTGGGGAGTCTACTCAAGATTCTCCCCCTCTCTCCTTCCCCTTCCCCTGCTCTCTCTCTCAAATAAATAAATCTTAAAAAAAAACCAAAAACATAACATATAAATGGCTAGAATACCAGAAAGAAAAGAAAGAGGGGCACCTGGGTGGATCAGTCGGTTAAGCATCTGCCTTTGGCTCAGGTCATGATCTCAGGGTCCTGGGATCGAGCCCCACATTGGGCTCCCTGCTCAGCGGAAGCCTGCTTCTCCCTCTCCCTCTGCCTGCCGCTCTGCCTGCTTGTACGCTCGCGCACTCCTTCTCTCTCTCTGTGTCAAATAAATAAATAAAATCTTAAAAAAAAAAGAAATGAAAAGAAAGAGAGAGTGGCAAGAAGTAATATCTAAAAAATTAATGGCTGAGAACTTTCCAAAATTACTGGTGGACACCAAACCACAAGGCCAAGAAGCTCAGAGAATACCACACAGGATACTAAAAAGATAATGATTAACGAGAAAAACCAACTAGACATACATATTTAAATTGCAGAAAACCAAGACAAAGAGAACATCCTGAATGAAGCCAGAGGTAAAAATATCTTACTTACAGAGGAACAAGGATAAGAATTACAGAAGACTTCTTATCAGAAACCATTCAATTAAGAAGAGAGGGAAAACAATCTTTCAAGTGTTGAAAGAAAAAGAATCTGCCAAGTTAGAATTCTATATCCAATGAAATTACCTTAAAAGTCAAAGGGGATAAAAACTATTTCAGACAAATAAAAACTGAGGTAATTTATTGCCAGTAGGCCTGCCATAAAAGAAATGTTAAAAGATGGCAGATTTTAATCCAACTGTATCAATAATCACTGTATTATTTATTTATTTATTTATTTATTTATTTTAGAGAGAGCCTGTGAGCAGGCGGGGGGAGGGGCAAAGGGCGAGGAAGAGAGAGAATCTTAAGCAGGCTCCATACCTAGCATGGAACCCAACGCAGGGCTCAATCTCATGACCCTGAGATCATGACCCTAACATCATGACCTGAGCCTAAATCAAGAGCCAGACACTTAACTGAACGAGCCACCCAGGCACCCCTCAATAATCACTTTATTTTTATTTATTTATTTTTAAGATTCTCATTTATTTCAGAGATAGAGCATGGTGGGGAGGGGCAGAAGAGGAGGGGAGAGAGAAACTCAAGTAGACCGTGTTGAGTGCGGAGCCCCACGAGGGACTTGATCCCACAACCCTGAGATCAGACCTGAGCTGAAACCAATAAATATGTTCATCAGTAGATGGATGAATGCACCAACTATGGTACATCCATAAAAGAGAGTACTACTTAGCACTAAAAAGAAATGACCTAGTGACACACAGAACAACATGGATGAAACTCAAAATAAGTATGCCGAGTAGAATAAACTATATATATAGTGTATGAGTCCATTTATATAAAACTTCAGAAAGTGAAAACTATGTCGTAGTGACAGGCAGATCAGTGGTGGGAGAAAAACAGGAGGGAGGAATTACAAAAGAAGTAAGGAAACTTCTGGAGGTGGAGAATGCATTCACTGCCTTGATTGTGGTGATGGTTTCATGAGTATACACATAATTAAAAATTTATCAACTTGTACACTTTATACCAAAGATTAAATATGAAGTTATGTGTCACTTGTACCTCAAAAACCTTTAAACTCTTTTTATCCAAATTTTCTCTTGAATTATATTCTTTAAATATTTGTAGTATTTCATTGCTTTGGTTTCAATATTGAGAACTCCACGTTCTAGAGAAATGGCTACTCACAGGAGCCATATACTGAATCAGCAAAAAAGGAGGGAGCTCGAGCTGTGGAGGTCCTATGAACCTCCTGCTGTAATCCAGGGAAACTGATCTTCAAACGTGAGTCACAGAAAAGCGCTTCTCTTTGCTGACATACAAAGGTACTAGATGAAAAAAATGAGAGAATATAGCATGTAATTATTCCCAAATATGAAGACTCACCAGAAAACTGTTTCCATAGAGCAGATCTAAATTTTAACCTGAAATTACAAAAGGAACCTAAAAGCTAGTGAAGCAATTACAGTTAAGGAAGGAGAACCGCAGAGAAGAACATACAGGAGCTCAAAGCCAAGATGGCCAGGCAGCTCTATGCTCTGCCCGCAGACAAATGAAGACGAATAAGTTGACAGAACTCAGGGAAGGGTTATGGAAAAAGAAGACATGTAGAACATTTTAGAAAAGAAAAGAAACCAAACCAAAAAAAAAAGAGAGAAATGGCCTTCTTCCTTCACTGTCTCACCCAATTATTTCCAGTCCAGCCCAAGACTTTCTCTTTGTGATTTGATCAATCACTATTTTTTTCTCTCTGGGAGTAGTCTGGATGTGGGGGAATGTTGTTCTGTGAATGAGGTTAACTTAATGGAGGAGTCAGAGGAGGAGAAAAGGCAAGAGGACATTCATGACTGTGGTGGGCATAGCACTCTACGGAAGGGCTAACACACAGTGTAGCAATGTTCAAGAAGCAAGTATTAAGTGTCCATGCTGTCCTGGGGCTACAGAGGGTGCCCTTGACTGCAAGGACTTTACATTATAGTTGACGATACCATGGTTACATGTCAGTACACACAGGAAAAGACGTTCCAAAGGAACAGCAAGGATCCCATGATAGAGAATGAGGCAGAGGGGAGCTCCTTTACACTGATTGGGCCATCCCTGAATATCACAGTAACTCACAGGATGCAGAGTGGCTCCATGTGTCTCCTTGTTTCTTTCAGAACCCCGTGTATAACTGGAGTCCTAAAATCCAGGGTATCATCTTCAGTTCCATCTTTTATGGTGTAATCATCACCCAAATTCCTGTCGGATACTTGTCTGAGAAATACTCCATCAAGAAAATGATCGGCTCTGCATTATTCCTCAGCTCTCTACTTAGCCTGTTAATGCCAATGGCAGCTGAAGGTGGAGAAGCTTTCCTCCTGGCATGCCGAGTAGTCCAGGGAGCAGCCCAGGTATTAAGATAATGCAAAAACTGGGGGCGCCTGGGTGGCTCAGTCATTAAGCGTCTGCCTTCGGCTCAGGTCATGATCCCAGGATCCTGGGATCGAGCCCCGCATCGGGCTCCCTGCTCTGCGGGAAGCCTGCTTCTCTCTCTCCCACTCCCCCTGCTTGTGTTCCCTCTCTCGCTGTGTCTCTCTCTGTCAAATAAATAAATAAAATCTTTAAAAAAAAAAAAAAGATAATGCAAAAACTGAACAGGGTTTAAATTCACAGAAAGTATCAGAGATCAGATGTCCCAATCCTTCTGATTTCAGGGATCGGTATTCATAGCTCAGCACGTCACGTGGGTCAAGTGGGCTCCTCCCTTGGAACGAGGCCGACTCACCTCCCTGAGTCTATCAGGTAATGACGTAGGGCCTAGAATGTTTGAATCCCGCTATCATCTTATTCTAGCACGTTCTTCCTAGACCTGTGAAAGTTGTGTGTTTTGAAGTGTCCAGGGCTTTGGAAACCATCTGCTCCAGCATCCTTGCTTTAAAGATGTGGAAACTTTCTAGAATGAAGAAAAGGCTCCTTTACCTCAAACAACAGGAAAAAAAAGAGAAAAGCGAATATTTTATTCTCTTCTTCTGCTCAGTGTTATCCTTACAAATGTATTTCACTGGAAATTGTTTATTTCTACCGTGAGGCTACATTATCTCTATTCTCAGATGCTTGTGCTCCTTAGGGGTTTCTTTGTGCCCCCTGATTAGGAATTCTGCTGGGGTCCTTCATTGTTCTGCTTGCGACTGGATTCATCTGCCAATCCCTGGGCTGGCCCATGGTCTTCTACATTTTTGGTGAGTCTCTGTCTATAACATCCCAGTTGTTATTCAGAATTGAAAAAAAATTAAAAATAAAAACTGACTATAAGGTAGTAATTTATATAACGCTAATGATATTTAAAATCATGAATCTCATTGAAGGAAAACGAGAAGTCAACATTCATTAATTTCACATTACAAGCAGAACTATACATGTGTTATTGTACATTACCTCTGCAATTCTATAATGTAGGTACTAGAGATCCATACCCCTTATATGAAACCCTTGGGGAAAGGGATGACCCACTATTGTTCATAAAAAGGAGCATACAGACTGAAGCAATGCTAGGAAGGAGATACATAGGGGAAGACACCCCAATCCCACTCAACTCTCTCTTCTTTACCTTTTTCTTGGGCTGCTTGCCAAATCAATCTAGAAAGCAGTCTACCCAGGGGCCTGTTGATGTTCATTCAAGCCAGCCATCTGTGACCAACGCAGGACACCGAAGGGTGAAGAGTGGGTCTAGAGGGACAAGTGGAAGACATCCAGTGCACACTGTGAGCAAATGGCAAAGCCATAATATGAACACATGCCTTCCATCCTCCAAATGCCATTGCTCTTCATCACTAAATTAGTCGTCAGTAGTAAGTAATGATCAGTATAGTAACAGTACCCAAGCCCTGTACCAGGAAAGGGGCCAAAAAATACTGGGACTGTCTAGCCTGGGGAAAAGAAAACTTGAGCGAGCATGCATAAAAGAGAAATTCACACCTGCTCTGTATTACAAAATTAAAACTAATCAGCAGAAACTATAGGGAGGTGAGGTTTGCGCTCCATTAAAGACAAGCTCAATAGTTAATGCTGCCCACCAGTGCTGATCAAAGGTTGGATGACCTCCTACACTCGTGGTGTATTCCTATTCTGATGTCATATACATGGGTATGGCAACATAGGTCATTTGCAGTTCTCATGGGTGGCTCCATGAAGCTCAGAGAGAGGCACAATGCGTTGTCCTGGGTCAGCAGCTTTCCCACGAATTGCCTCATTTGGAGGCACCTGGAATGGGGGGAAGGCTTAGAGGGTAGCAGGGTAGGGATTCAGGCATCTGCCTCCACAAGTCTTTACCATGAGGCATCGTGTCGTGCCCACAGAGGCCAAATGGCCGGCTCCAGTTTATGGCAGAGGCAAGACTAAAACCAAGAGGTTTTGTTCCATTTGAAGGTTCTTCTCAATGAAGTTAAATAAATCTAAATCCACACTGCTTTAAAGAACAAAATAACATCTGCCTTTGAGCAGCTTCTAATTGCTGGAGAAAAGCTCCCAAAAGAGCAAATCAGATCACAAACTCACATTGGTGCTTAAAACGGCCGTTTCCCTCCACAAAGACTATTTCAAACTTCTCAAAACCTCTCTAGTCTCCTCAATTCTCTAAAATGGCTCCCTGTCCCCTGCCTTCTCTCTCATGTCACCTCCCTTTGAACAGTGGAAATCATTGCTCAACCTGTCTGTACCCACTGCCCCAACCTCCCAGACTTCTCCTCAACTTCTATCTGACTCGCGTCTGACCCATTCTGCCATCGAGACACTTCTTTTTTTTTTTTTTAAAGATTTTATTTATTTATTTGTGTGTGAGAGAGAGCACTAGTAGGGGGGAGCGGCAAGCAGAGGGAGAAGCCGGCTCCCCACTGACCAAGGAGTCTGATGCAGGACTCGATCCCAGGACCCCAGGATCATGACCTGAGCCGAAGGCAGACGTTCAACTGACTGAGCCACCCAGGTGTCCCATCATTGAGACACCTCTTGACAAGATCATTTACAGCTTCCATCAGAGCTGCCCTGATTCCGCACTGAGCCCATTCTTGGCCCTCCTCCAACTAGGCCCTTTTCGTAGAGTCTGTGGGGTCAAGATTATATACTCTTCAGAGCCCACGGCCATCACTCCTAGTCATCACTCCCAGAATTGTTTGCTTAAAAACCACCAGGGCTTTTCAGACACGGAAGAACTCTCCGGCACATCCACTGAATTTAGACTTGGCCAACGAAGGGCAAGCAAAACTGCTTGCAGGAGATGTAAATGGAGTATGATGGGGAAGGCAAGAATTTCTACACATAACCAATTAAAACTTCTTGTAGTATGGAAAGGGATCTGAGTAGGAACAGGAGGTCAAGCCTCAGACCACAGTGACCAGGGATTTGTGACCAGTGGAATCAAAGAATTCTAAGTTTAAACCTCATTCTTCCTCGGGTGTCTTTAAAAAACTTTCTTTGTCTTAGATTTTCTATAGTTTGAATATAATATGCCTCGGTATATATTTTTTTGTATGTTCTCTTGAGCTTCCTGTCTCTGTGGTTTGGCGTCTATCATTAATTTTGGAAGACTAATTATTCCTTCAAATATTTCTCCTGTTCCATTCTCGTTCTTCTCCTTCTGATAGTGCCAAATGTATATATTACACCTTTTGTAATAGTCCCACAATTCTTGGATACCTGTCGTTTTTATTCTTTTTCTTTGCAATTCAGTTTTGGAAATTTCTACAGACATTTCTTCAAGCTCGATGATTCCTTCCTTGGCCATGCCTAGTCTATTGATGAGCCCATTAAAGGCATTCTTCATTTCTAGGTTAGTGTTTTTGATCTAGCATTTCCTGTTGATTTTCTTATTAGAGTTTCTGCCTACTTACATGAATCATATATTCTTGTATGTTGTCCACTTTTTCCATAAGAGCTCTTAGCAATATAATCACAGTTGTTTTAAATTCTTGATTTGATAATTCCAACATCTCTGCCATTTCTGAATCAGTTCCAGTGCTTGCTGTCTTCAAACTGTATTTTTTGTCTTTTAGTATGCCTTGTGATTTTTTGTTGTTGAAAGCTCAACAAGATGTACTAGATAAGAGGAATGGAAATAGTCTTTCAATGTGAGGTTTTATATTTATCTGGCTTGGCTAGGGGTTAGAATTGCTTACTGTTTGCTACAGCTCTAAGTTTCAGAGGCTGCAATTTACCCTGCTTTTGTGTTTTTATAGTCTTCTTAAATAAGGTTTGACACGTGTAGTTTTTCCATTTGTATTCCTATTTATAGACAGGAAAACTACTGATGTGGTGGTAAGGTGTAAGATAGTGTTCTGTAGTCATATGATTAGTCTCAGTCTTTCAGTGAGTCTGTGCCTCTGGGGTTCACCTTCAGAAGTCCTTCCCAGTGTTCCTCCCATTATGTAAGACAGGAAGGCCAGAGGGGGTTGCAGTTGGGTATTTCCTTTCACTTAAGCAGGTTAGACTCTGGTAGAAGTTTCCCTTGACAGCAGGCTTTGTTAAGAACAGGATGCTCTAGACATAATTCAAAACTGCTACTTTTCCTTTCCCCTGCTGAAAGGATGTAGGAATTTTTGTCTCATCTTCACTGTGAGAACCTGGTTAGGTCTCCTGAAGGGAAAACTCACAAAAGTATGAGAGTCCCTCCAGGATTCCCCCCACCCCAGATTTTTTTACCTCTCAAACTTGTCCACACAGCCTACTGCGATTAATCAATTGCCAGGTTTTCTTACCCTGATACTGGTTCCCATGTAGTTTTCTGCTTCTGGGCTTCTGTTCCAGGAAGTTGTAATTCTCTGTATCCCCTATCTGTCTCTCCAATTTTGGGTACAGTAATTTGCCCTATGACCTCAATATTCTGATGGATCAAAGAAGAGTTGATTTTTATTTTGTTCAACATTTTTCTTGTAATGAGAATGGGAGGGATGACTATCAAGTTCCTTACGTGCTGGATCAGAAACCAGAAGTCTCTCTCCAGATCATTTTGAAGTTACATTTTTGTCAACATAGGATGAGAAGACATACCTTATTTGAGTTTCTTAATAAATCCATAACTTAAACATTCATGTGAATTTCCACGTATAGTCTTGCCCCAGGCCTCACAAATGTTAGAGCTGGCCAAACCTCCATGCCCATAAATCAAGTGGAAGTTCTTCAGTCTACATTTGACCTGAGTTCTCAATCACGTCCATCACCAATGGTGCCCTTGCCTAACTCTCTGCATTGGTCTTTGTTCTCCTGGCCATTCTGTCTTAGTCTTTTGCAGACTCATCCTCTTCCACTTGCCATTAACTCTTGTCTTTCTTCAAAGCTCTGCTCCAGGCTTCTCCTTGAGGACTGTACTCCCAAAAATATAATTCATGCTAAGTGTCAATTACCACTTATTAACTGTGTGTCCCTGGGCAAGGATGTGGACCTTTCTGAACATCAGTATTCTCATTTTGAAAAAGAGCTAATAGGCCCATATGAGTTTCTGAGTTGACTAAAATACTATATTGAAATGTACATATTGCACATGTATTTATTAGATATTCACCTCTCTCCACTTACATTTCACCTTGGGATTGGGTTCTCAGGTCACAGAATGACATGGAAATAGTATATAGTTGAAATATCCTTTTAATGTTGTTTAAAGAGTATTGTACAAGCCTAAGATCTTACAGTGGCTCCAGGTTTCCACATGGTCTAATCCCATCAGCTCTCATCCTCAACCTTTCCCGTCCTCCCCTTGCTTCCTCTCCAGTTACACTGGCCTCAGGACCTAGGCCTTCAGCACTCTCTGCTCCCTCTGCCTGGAGTGTCCTTGCCCCATATCCATGTCCCAGCCTTCACTGAGCATGATACTCCCCCCGACCCCTGTAACTTCTCTCCAGAGCTCTTGTCACTGACATTTAACACCCTTTACTTTTTAACTTTTCATCATCTTTTTCTCATCCACTAGAAAATAAACTCTGTGAAGACAGAAATTTTTGTGTTTTATTAATTGCTGCGTCCCCAGTACGTAGAATAGTGAATGGTACATAATGTGCATTTAATCAATATTTGTCAAATGAATGAATGCCTTTCTGGAAGACTGACTGATGAGTACTACATACTCCCTGTCCTAACAGATGATTCCTCACAGAGGACTTGTGTAATCCCTCAGGCCTGGGCTGAATCTTAAGAGCATGGCCAAGACCTAGCTCTCAAAGCTAGGTGATCGTCAAGCCCTGTGAGGGTTCAGCTGTACCATATTCTCCTGGTGGAACACGTTGGGAAACTGTAGAGATGAGGGCCTAAGAGCAGGGAGTCCCACTATGATGAGTGGAGGGATACAGAACCTCGATCAGGAAAGGCCAGAGGGCTTACCGCCCTCTCTGCAAAATTCATTCTGTAGGCACAGGCAGCTGTGGATACAGAGAGGACTATCAAAACCGTAAGCCTTGTTGCCAAGTTTTAAAGAAGGAAGAGGAGGTCCAGGTTCTCTGACCGATAATGACAAATGCCAATTTGGGAAAGAGACTTACTACCAACAGACGCAATTTCGAATCTAACCTATCCTGCTTTGATAGGTGCTTGTGGCTGTGCCCTAAGTCTCCTCTGGTTTGTTCTGTTCTATGACGACCCAAAGGACCACCCATGTATAAGCATCAGTGAGAAGGAATACATCTTGTCCTCCCTCAACCAGCAGGTAGAACACAGATGCTCCACTGTGGTATCTTCCAGATTCTGTGCCGAATGAAACCATGTTCCTGCTTGTCCTAATGTGCTAACAGTTAATGGGTTTTTTTCCCCAGGTCAGCTCAAGGACACAGTCTCTGCCAGTCAAAGCTATGATTAAGTCTCTTCCCGTCTGGGCCATTGCTTTCGGTTCTTTTGCTTTTCACTGGACGAATAAAATCATGGTTTTGTACACTCCAACGTTTATCAACTCCAAGCTTCGTGTGAATATAAAAGAGGTAAGTTGACTTGTGTTCTCCTTTTAGCTTTATGAAGGACTCTTCTCATTTCTTTTCTTCTTATGTCTCTAACCCTAGCTCTTGCTGGCCCCTACACCATTTAGCTGACATTCTGTACCTGGAGACTGTTTCCAATTCTTATGTTAACATTTCCCAGATCAAGGGTGTAGGGACATATCTGGCACTCCCACAATAGAACACACTCATGTTCCCACAGGTTCCCTACCTCCCATTCACTGCATGACCACCCCAATTAGTATTATTTAAGGCTCAACACCATCATTGCCTACAGAGACTGGGATCCTTCCCTGCCACCCTGCCCAGCTCACATCCAACCTATCTCTTGGGATAAGGCAATGAGTCCTAGGTCTTGCTTTGAAAGGATGGGCACTCTCATTTCTTGTCTGACTTGGAGAATGACTGTTCCCTGAACCTTATGTTCAAAGCCATACTAACCAGAAAAGACTCCTATAGAAATGGAATGCCCAAAGTGCCATTCATCAATCAACCTCCAGTAACCCAGCCTTGGGGCCAAGCACTCTCTGATTCAGTGTTATCCTCTGTGAGACCCTGGACGTGTTGAAAGGATTAAGGGCAGTGGTTCAGAATCAGCACCATACGAATGTCTGTAGTTGCTGTCATTACTAGCCCTACCATCTTGCCCAGGGCCCGCATTCCCCATTCCTGACTATAGTCTTCGGATCTCGATTCTCCAGTACTTTCAGGTCCCGTGACACTAAGAAGAGAAAACTCGACGGACTCTGACAACTCTTCCTGACCCCAAAACTACTTTCCTCTTCCTTTTGGGTGGTGTGGCCCCAAGTGGGAATTCTGAGTTTGCATGTTGATGGTTGTATGGCAATACAAATTTTAGATACTGAATTTTAGCGTCAGGATGACTCCACCTATCATACTCACCCTTACACTAACATTTACTTCCCAGAATGGGCTGCTATCATCCCTCCCCTATTTGTTTGCCTGGAGCTTTGGTATCCTAGCAGGTCACCTGACAGACTTCTTCCAGTCCAGGAATATTCTCCGCTTAATTACCATCCGGAACCTCTTCAACACACTGGGTAAGGAACAGCCAGGATGTTCAAGCACCTTGAGGCCCTTTGCCCCATCTTTGGGATGCCCCTAACTGTGTTGTCTGAATCACTCCCCAGGACTTCTCCTGCCTGCCTTCTTCAGCGTGTGCCTGCTCTACCTGAGTTTCAGCTTCTCTAGCACTACCATCTTCCTGATACTTGCCAGTTCAACAGGAACCTTTTGTATGACTGGAGTACTCATAAATGGCTTGGATATTGCTCCCAGGTAGGATTTTAAAAATCTCTTTCCCGTATCCAAGCTCCCCAGGGTGTTTTAAGATTCCAACTATTTTGGAGTTCGTGGCCATCAGGCCAAAATTCTTCCAGAAGCAGCATCAATATAGTTCATTCATATAATGTAAGTAATCATTATGTACCTAATGATATATTAATGTTTGCAACCCATATATTTATGAAGTACAGCCCAGTGATTCAGAGCACAGATTCTAAAGTCAGAAGGCTCGGTTTTAATAACAGCATGACCACTCTCTTCAAACAAATTACTTACCTTCTCTGGGCCTGTTTCATGGGAGTGGTAAGAGAATGCTTACCTCATAGGATTATTAGAGGATGAAATAAGTTAATTTAGGTCAAATACACAGAATAGGGCCTGGCCCATAGCAAACATTGTATACAGGTTACCTCCTCCCCATTGTTATTATTATTGAATACATGTTTATATATTATGAATCCTCATGAAAACCCACCAGTTAGTAGTACTTATTTTATAACTAAGAAAACCGAGGGTCAGATACTTGTCAGCCAAGATCTCACCACTGGTTTGGGATCTTACTTAGGATTTTAATCCAGATCTGTCTGGCAAGATCTTTTGCTTTTACTATGATGCCTTTTTTAAAGATACACTAAGTGTGACTGATGGAAGCAGCCCGGCCATTTGCACAACTCCAGGGTGCACTGTTTACATCATGCTTTATAGGGCTAGCAGTCCCTGGAGAACATGGATCCAGTAGGAACAGAATTCTCTGAAGTTTAGCAAAGCAGTGGCCGTGGGGTAGAGAGGCGAAATCAACAAAGAATAATCCACTTGTCTCGATTCTTATAAAGAATCTTGTCCATTATATCTACACAAGGTGAGTGCCAGAGTAATGAGGACATGTATCCACTTGTTTTATTCAGTTCCAAGACCCTCCTTAAAAATGCCCACAGGTGTTCTGATTATATATATATATAAATTATATATAAAACATGTAAGGATTATTTGATACAGAAAGCACAATGTCAACTGAGCCATATGCACTTTGAAATCAAGAATGTATACAGAAATAGGAACGCCTGGGTGACGCAGTTGGTTAAGCATCTGACTCTTGGTTTCAGCTCAGGTCATGATTTCAGGGTCCTGGGATGGAGCCCCATGTGGGGCTCCGTGATCAGTGCAGAGTCTGCTTGAGATTCTCTCTCCCACTCTGTCTGCCCCTCCTGCTCATGCTTTCTCTCTAAAATAAATAAATCAATGTTTAAAAAAAATAATGTATACAGAAATAGAGAAAGGAAATTATAAATAGCTAGGATTTGTTGAGTATTTTTTATGTGCCTGGCATGCCCCAGTGTGAATGAGATATTACCCACATAGTATGGGTGAGGAAGCAAAAGACCAGGGAAAAGAATTCATGTAAATCACACAGTAATAAGCACTGAGGGCTCGCACCTACGTATGTCTGCTTCCACAGCTGACTAGCTATAGTCACTCCCTCAATAGGGCTATTTGTTAGCATCTTGTCAGTAGGCTATGAAATAATCTCAACCAGCAATGGCTTGAGTTTATAGGACTTGTCTGAGTCACATCATTCCAATGGACCCAAATTCCATGTCAGCCAGGTAACTTTGTAGAATCAGAGAATAAATATACTAATATACAAACTGGAAAAAATTCTTATCCCTTAAGGTGGTTCATCCTCAATCTTTAGGGCATATGTGTGTTATAGCTCAACGATATTAATTTGTATTGCTTCAACTATTGTTTATTAATGGAATAGAGACCAAACTTACTTAAGCAAAAATGTTCCTAATCATATACCTCCCTTGCTATTATAGAGAGTTCCCTTAGAGAATAAATTTCTAAATTGTCCTCTTAGGGAAATTTGGTCTTTGTTAGAACTAAAGAGTCAGTCAGGGGTTACATAGGTTGGAGCAGAACAAAGGTGGCAGGAAAAAAGGTCTGGAAGGAAAAAGAAACACACATGTGATTTTGTGAGAATATTGTTTGGGAAATAAGACTGAGTGAGACAGAGACCTAAGAATGGAGTGGCTGCCATCACTTTGGTGGGCAGCAAGAGTAGAAAAGCACAGAGAACTCTAAAGATGTTCTGTAATGCATTAAGAAGAACCTGTCATTGCCTTGACATTCTTAAATGGAGGCCCCAAAAAAGACTTTAATTGCTTTTCATTATTTTTGACTGATTGCATGGATTGTGCACCTTTGAATTTCCCTCCATGTGGGCCTGAAGTAGAGTTCAGACATCAGAATCTTATTTGGGCTCTACTAAATCATAGCATGCCAAAATATGAAATCAATAAAATTGAAAGTCTACTTTAATGGCTATTTAAATTTCCAAAATGCCTTTTAGTATGAGCTGTTGCTGCTGAAGGATAAGCCAATTTAGAGATCACTGTGGTCCAGAAAAGTATCCTGCATTAGAACAACCTTTGTTTTCACTCCCTGTATCATGTACCTACCATTTGAGGACCAAACGATAAAACGTTGTCACCTACTCTCAGAGCAGAAGAACTGCTCCATCCTATCGATGTGTAACGGTTTTCAAAGGAATTGTCAAGGCATTCAGGGTTCTTGACACTGAGGATTCTGTTTATTTCTCTGACTACAGAATGAAACACCTCTTTTGGTAAAAATAGATCAAATCCTTTCTCACAGCCACAGCATGCTAAAGACTTCTGAATCTGGGAGGAGAACATAGTCACTAAAGATGTCATAGTTACTGAATATATACTAGGATAAATATAAAGAAAACCACTCCTAGAATTGTTGTAGTAAAATTGCTAAAACTAGAAAGTCAGGGAGGGAGAAAGATCTCTTAAACACAGCCATATGCAAAAGCACATTGCTTTCAAAGAATAATAAGACTGGGAGCTGCCTTCTCAAGAGAAAAAAAAAATGAAAGCTAGAAGCCAATCTCTAAAATGAAAAAAGTAAAATCACTGTTAATTAGAGGTCTATATCCAGCAAAAAGTTCCTTCAAGAATTAAGGTAATATAAAAATATTTTCAGGCAAATTGTGAGAATTCATCAGCAAAGACCTCCAATGAAAACTTCTTAAGTGGGAATTCTTTGGACAGAGGCAAAATAATCACAGATGAAGCATAGAAATATAGGAACAATAAAGAGAGATGGAGAGGAAAAAAGTAGAGTAAATCTAATAATTACTGAATTCACAAAAGGAAAACAATACCTCGTAGGGTACAAAATATATGTAAATTAAAATGTCTGACAATAAAAAGCACAAAAGATGAGAGGATATAAATGAAAATGTGTTCTCAGGTGCTTTCATTAATGGGAATTTATAAAAATATTAATTTATGTTAGATGAAAATAAGTCAAGAATATATGTTTTAATCTCTAGGGTAACTATTGAATGATAGTAAAAGTATAAAGGAGATGGTACTTTAAAAAACCAATGAAAAAGAAATCAGGAATGAAGTTTAAAAAGGAGCATAAAATAGGTGGAAAAAAACAGAATGAGGATCATTTTAAGTCAAATGTATCAGAAAAACACAAAATATAAAAGGACTATATCTTCCAAATTTTGAGTTAATCTGGATGGAAATAAAAGCAATAACAAAATGTAACAGATTATAAGCAGAATAAAGGAAAACACATCAGCCAATGTAGACTTTAAGGCAGATGCATTACTAGAGATAAAGAATTTTTTAAGCATTACTTTAATTCACTAGAACATATAATTTTCTAAATTTCTCTGTACCTAACATTTTACAACCGTAAAGCAAAATTTGAGAAACCTGTTCAACTTCCACACAGGATTGGGCAGCTGTGGATGACTGACAGTCCAGCTGGGGTAAATTTGAAATAAAATGCCAAAAGTAGGGGTGCCTGGCTGTCTTAGTCAGTGGAGTATGTGACTCTTGATCTTAGGATTGTTCGAGATCAAGGTTTGAGCCCCATGTTGGATATAGAGATTACTTTAAAAATTTAAAAAATAAAATAAAATACCTAAAGTGTTCACTCAAAGGCATTAGACAGCAGCCGAGGCCTATAAGACCAGAGATACAAGAGGATAGCACCTCTGAGGTGAGCTGACAATTCCCTCCACTTTTTCCTTGGGGTCATTAGGCAAAAGGCTGCTAATCCAGGTTTGGCCCTGGGACAAGTCGGCTGCTATGTATAGAGAAATTAGTCAAGCGTTTGGGTTGCACAGGGCTGGAGTGACAACATTGAAAATTAAGGGAACTTAAACATAAAGTCAGTTTCTTTCTTTGAGATATTTGTTGAGTTCTGAAGTTCAGTGGGGCAAGTGGCAAAAAAAAAAAAAAAAAAAATCTAAGCCAAAACCATGAGAAGCATGGCAGAATTTGCCATACATTCTATACTAAGGAGACGAGATCTACCAAGGCCTGGTGGGACCTGGCTGGATATACCGAGTTCTCCATTTAACAACATGGAGGGCAGCACCTAAGGAACTGCGGGGGGTACCGAGGGGAGGGGAGGTACTACAGGTTTGGGTCTTATCAAAATTGAAACCTAGCCTCATCTCAGTTCATTTGCTAATTAAAGTGATCCACTCCCTCCCTTCCAAGTCTATCTATTAGAGAAAAGGGTGAATTTTCTCTTACAAAGCATAACGTATTCTTGGAGTCCCTATAGCTCTTATTAAAAATGTCCAGCATTTAATAAAAGTAACTAGGCATGACAAGGGATAGGGCCATGGGATCAATAATCACAAAATGCATTAGAAATAGTCCTACAACCGATACAGATATTAAAGTTATCAGGCAAGAAGAACTTTGAAATATCTATGATTAGTATACCCAAGAAACCAGGGGAAAAACTGAAGAAACAAGAAGAAAAGATAAAGAATTTGACCAGTATTGGAATCTATAAAAACAATCAAATGGAAATTCTAGAACTGAAAAAATAAAATGCCTGAAATTGAGATCTTAATGGATAGGTTTAATGACAAATTAGCCACAAGAGAAAATAAGATTGGTAAATAGGGAGACATATCACAAGAAACATCTAAATTGAAATATACAGGAAAAAAAATAAAGGAGCATAACAGAAATGTGGAATGAAGTAAAAAGGCTAACAAATTTGTACCTGAATCTCAGAAGGAAAAGAGAGCTAAAACGTGACATAAGCAATATTTTAAGAGAGAACAGGCCCAAATAATCCAAAAGTAACGAAAGACAGTAAACCACACATGCACAAAGCTCTGTGAATTTCAAACATGATGAAATGTAAATTATATATATAGTAAGAATGCCAAAAGCCAAAGACAAAGCAAAAAATCTTAAAAGGAACTAGAGCAAAAAGGCATGTCACTTTCAAGTGGCAATAATAAGCCTGACATCTGACTTTCCAACAGAAACCATGAAAACCAGAAGATAATGATACGATCTCTATAACATGCTAAAAGATAAATAAATGTCAACCTAGAATTTTATGTCTAATGAAAATATTCTTAGAAAATCAAAGCAAAATAATGTTTTCAGACAAACAGAGAAACTGTCACCAGTGGATCTTCACTAAAAGAAATACTAAAAGAAAACGTTTTGGTAAAAAGAAATCCCTATTGAAATCTGAATATGTTAGAAAGACTGAGGAGCAATTAGGGAGGGTAAGTATGTGTGTAATTACAGAGACTATTGATCTGTAAAAACAACAGAAAGTAACTTATGAGTTGAAATGCATATCAAAACAGATTGCATTAAGAAATTAAAATACAGGATGAAATAATGCAAAGAGCAGGAGGGAAATAAACAGAAATGTCAAAATATTAAAATCTTAAAAATTCTCTAAGCTCTGGCATAGAGAAAATAGTAAAACTCATAATAAACTTAAGTAAAAAGTACATGTCATATTATCTTCAATGCTTGAAAAGAACAGTTGAAATAACGTCACAGAAGGAAAAATAAAATAAAACGGATGAATCTAGAAGAAAAAGTGGAATATAAGAGAGGAAGTCAAAAAGAAAATAGTGAACAGATAAAGATAATCAGAAGTATATCAGTAATTATATTAGCTTAATATAGAAGAAATACCCAAGTAACTATCAAGATTGTCGAAGTCAAAAATAAAGGAAATGCAGCTCTATGCTGCAAATAAAAGACACACATTAAACATTAGGATATAGCAAGGATGCAATTAAAGAATACAAAGAAGTATTCCAAGCAAATATTAACCAAGAGAAACCTGAAATAACTATGTTAGTATCAGAAAAAAATGGAACACTACTAGAAATAGAAGGTGTTAGTTCATAATGGTGAAGAGAAAATTATCAGAATTCTATCTCTGTTTGAATCCAATAATACAGCTTTAATTTATAATCATTATGAATTGAGAGAACTCAAAGAACTAGACGAATTTACAATGAAGGAAGAAATTTTCATAACCTCTTTCAATAGCTTGGACTAAAACAGAGGTAGACAAAAAAATCAGTAAGGATATGGATGACTAGAACAACAACAAAAATTAACAGAGTTGACATGATTGACATATATGGAAAATCACACTGCACACAACAAGGAGAGGATTCAAGTTATTTTCAGTTGCCTATGGGACAGTTATTGAAATTGGTGATATTCTGGGTCATAAAGCAAGCTGCAATTGATTTAAAATGCTTGAAATCATTCAGAATATATTCTTTGATCACAGTGAATTAAGGTTGCCATCTAAAGCAAAAGATACATAACCCCCATTGCTTTGAGAGTAATGTTTAAGTCAAAGAAATCACAATTGGAATTAGAAAATACTTTAAATCATAATGAAGTAGGACATTTCAAAGCATGTGGGATGCTTTTAAAATCATGCCCAGAGAGGGACACCTGGGTGGCTCAGTCGGTTAAGCGTCTGCCTTCGGCTCAGGTCGTGATCCCAGAGTCCTGGGATCGGGTCCCACATCAGGCTCCCTGCTCAGCAGGAAGCCTGCTTCTCCCTCTCCTGCTCCCTCTGCTTGTGCTCTCTCTCTCTGACAAATAAATAAAAATATTTTTTTAAAAAAATCATGCCCAGAGAGATATGTATAGCTTTAAACAAGTATATTGAAAAACAGGTAAGTCTTAAAATCAATAATCATGTTTCTTATCTCAAGTAGCTAGAAAAGCAGCAAATTAACCCCCCCCAAAATTATGAAGATTAGGACAAAAACATTATACATAAAATCAACAATGTCAAAAGTTGGTTCTCTGGAAATTAATGAAAGTAATGAAAAAATGAAGGTTGATTAAGAAAAAGAGAAAAATTATCAATGTCAGTAATGAAAAAGCATTCATTATGGTAAGTTTAGAATATAAAAGAGAAATAACAGAATATTATGAACAACTTTGTGCCTGTAAATCTGACAATTTAGATGAAACTGAAAAGTCCCTCAACACACTCACACACACACAGAGTCATCGAATATAATTTTTAATATTTTTATGGGGAGAGGTGCTCATGAAGGCAAATGTGAAAAGGCTCACAAATGGCTTATGTAGCTCTCTCCCCACAAAAGCCCTAGGGGTCGTATTGCTAAAATGAAAAGGGGAACTATAAATTCTGGGGACAACTGGTGATGTCTGCCCCGATCTGCACCTATCATTGCTAATACCCATAAATGTTCTTCTTTATACATTAGAACACACTCTCCTGCTCCCCCTAAAAATCAAATCAAATTTCCACCCAGTGACTGCATACGGTTCAACATGCAGGGACTTTTGGTCTGTATGTGATGCCTCTCTGATTAAGGGACAGAGAAACTAATAGACAAACTATATACTCCCTCCCATATTCAACAGGTGAAGGCAGAATAGGAATAAAATAGACCTAGGGAAATAAAACGAACAGAACAAAACAAACAGAAAACCCTCGCTCTCATAAAAGGGAAGAAAAGGAAACACAGAACCTTTAATAGTGAAATCTTTTGAAAAGGAAAGGCAAAGACTCCCCGCCCTGGAGAGAACTAATTTCTTGGTAAGACACTGGCTCTGCTCTCCAAAAGGCACTTCCTTGTTCTCTTTGGCTGCTGGATCTGACCCCTCCTCTATTGATCACTCTCCGTGGCTTCCTTGCCTTCTGCTGAGCTGGGTTTGGGTACCCAGGACTGGCCAAGCACAGCTGCTTGGCAGCTAAGCTTCTCGCTTCCTCATCCAAGTATTGGGAGCAATCACTGGGCCAGTAGCTCTTGGACCATGGGAAGAGACCAGGTGAATGGAGTCCTTCACTTTTGTATTAACCCCAAACCGGTTCCTATCACCAATAAACATCACCTTCTGAATTTCTCAACTGGATTCATAGATTTCCTAATCCTGCTGGCTTTCATTCCACTAGGCTCTCTCTCAATCTTGGAATCGTTTTTACTGTTAAAGCCAACTTTTCTGGTTTTGTACTGCCGCTGTAAAGTTACTTCTACCCACATAGTTTTTCAACATTTTAATGGAATTTGAGAAGGAGGAATGAAGAATTCAGGAAATCAACAGTTATCACTCTTAAGCCTCATTTCGTTAGGTTGTCTTTTCCTGCAGCATTTGTCTGACTTTACCTCTGTGTCCTGCCGTTCTTTTTTGCATAGTTATTACGGATTTCTTAAAGGAGTTACAGCTGTAATTGGGATGATAGGAGGACTCATTTCTTCTACTCTGTGTGGAGTAATCCTTAATCAGGTAAGAAGCCTTCAGACATGGGTGGTTACTTTTCTAATATTACTTATACAGAGAAAGGCGGCAATATATATACAAACAATTGTAGACCTGACATCAGCAGGAGGTGAGCAATGAGATATTTGCTCACATTAAACTTGGTCAGATCAGGCATCCCTCCAAATCTACAGATAATGTAATTTCTTTCTCATTGGATGTCAAGTAGTTGTGCTGGGAACAGTTTAGTCATTGGTCTTGGGAACAGAAATAGACCTCTGTGATTTTTAACAATGAGTGTGTGGCTTGATCCAAACAGGAATTTTGGCTGGGTGAATGGTAATATAAGTAACAAAATACGGTTTTGTTAGAAAAGGAATGAAAAATCAGGAACAAACAGAATTAGTGATCAAAAGAAACCCTTCTCTAAAGGTCAACTTGTGTTTCGACAAGTGCTGTGGACAAGGTTACCTGAAATCCTTCTCTTAAGAACACTAAAATGCCCTATCAAATTTAAACAATCATTTTCAATGCATACCTGATCTTGAAAAAGATATAAGAGGAAATTTCAGAGATGAAAAACAGAGGAAGAGCTTGATCCCGGAGAGGTCAATGTCTGCTGAAGCCCTGGAATGCCTTGGTACGTGACCCTTGCTGGATGATCTGTCACTTTGGCTGTGATGAACAAATCAAGAATAAGACGTAATATCCCCAAACCACTCATAAAACAGACAAAAAGAGTCAGATTGGAAACGCTTGCATAAATCTGTAATCACAAATCACAAATCACAAAGCACTACACCCTCACACGTAGTGCCATGTAGCTTACATGCAAACTTGGTTTATTTGGAGGAAAAGCTACGAGCTGAGAAGTAGCAGTATACAGGCAATTCCTCCACATGTTCCTTATCCCACGACTTGGGCCAAGGAGAGATGGTCTGCATTCTCCATGGCCAAATTTCCCAAAGAAGAGAGCCCACTACCATCATGTTCTATGTACTTATGGTATCAGAAAGGCAGGAAAAATCACTGTAACCATGGAATCTCCCTGGACAGAAAAGTGGATAAAAAAGCAGGATTCCAGGAGACCAGGCTGATTTCTCCCTGAGTGTAGAGCCCACTCAGCCTGTTCTTCTATTTCACTCACTCAGATATGCCGAGCGGACTTCCAAACGTTGTTAAGGTGAGCTAACTTCTCTGCGGAGTTTCACAAGGTGGGAGGACATGTGCCTCCAGAACGGTCCAAAGTTGTCTCTGCCCAGTAAGGAAATTTGTCTGTCTCAGCCTCAGCTTCAAAGGGAGAGGAAAAACTGAATAAAGACTCTTCTGGACATCTGGAACAATGAACCAATTTTCCGAACAGTTTGAGGCCCAAATTCAAACTCTATTTATTTCAAATGCCATAAGCCAAGCATTGAATTTTGAGTAGTCCAAAGATGCCTAGTAGAAGCAAGTAAGGTTTTTCTGGAAAAACTCACCCTAAATTCATACTCTAGGATTTTCTCATACATAAAGGTTTAGTGAGAACAATTTTACAATCAATCAAAAATCACCAAACACGTGAAGAAATAAGGTGCCACATGAGAGAAGAATTAAAAAACCTTGGAATCAGATCCTCAGAGATATTGGAAATCTATGCGTATGTTTAAAGAAGCAAAAGAGAGGATCAAAAATATATGTAAGAAGCATAAGATTTGATAGAGAACTAAATCTAACCTCTGGTAATTAAAAATAGAAAAATTGAAATAAAAAATTTTAGATGAAATACAGCTAACACGAGAATTAGTGAAGTTTCGGATTCCACTAATAAGAGTAAGTAATTTGGGCCAATTCTCTTAGTAAAAGCAATTTAAAAGGTTGGAAAAATATGAAGAGTCTTCTTTGAAGCTTCAGAGAAGCAGAGAGATGGAAAACTTTAACAGGAAAGATCTGGGAGAAGCCAGGAACTGAAAGAATTAGGCAAAGGACTATGGGGTATTTTCCACTGGGCTGAGGAAAGCAATTTTTTGGCTGCTTTTGAGAGTCTGCCAAGGGTGAGGACCCCGATAAATTAACTCTTGTTTTAGTCTGAGACCTTCCAAGAGTTGCACAGAAGGAGTAAGAGTGAACAGAAATAAACCAGTCCTCACACAGTCTGCTTGAGTCATCTGGGCAGAACAGAACATATCCAATCTTACTTTAAAGGGGTTCGGACTTACCGTGTCCCAGAGGAGTCAGCAGGAAGCAAACAAAAACAGTGCTTTTGGGGAGAGGCATCACCAACCTGACTGTCACCAGAAATAGTTTTTTTAAGAGCAATCTCCTGTACACAACAAAAGATAACCAGGCACATGATGGAGACACAGCAAAATGGGGGGAAACCAGAACAAAGAGCAAATAGCAGTGGCAGGAGAAAGGGACCCCAAAGACAAGTCAGACTGGTCCCACCGGCTCAAGTACAGTGCACCGGGAAGGATAAGTGAAGCTTGATATTTTCCGTAGGAGGCTCAAACTATAGGAAGTCACATAGAATATGTGAGAAAAAAAGGACTAAAATTGAAGTTTAAAAACAAATTTGATAGACATGCCGGCACTGCTAAGAACCCCAAATCCCAACAGCAAAAACTACGGAGGTCTTTCTTTCTCAACTGGTAGATCCTTGTCGAGTAAGCGGGTCGGGTAACTGGGGAGAGCCGGTCCTCTAAGCACCCCAGTCACCGAGGCAGGGCAGAGGGTGCAGTGAGGGGCAGTGGCTCTTTACCCTTCTGCTCCGGGTCGTGGTCCAAAGCAATCACGGCTAACCTTGACTTCAGGGGGGCTGTGGAGCGCCATGAAGGAGGACCAAAAATGTCACATCGGTTCACTCCTCCAGCCACCAAACATTCAGTTCACTCTCCCCGGGGCTGGTGGAATGATTTCACTTCCTCCGTAAGGACCCGGGTCCCACCGCGTTATGGCATCAAGTTCAAAGTGCAGACTGTGTCCTGTCTTCGCTGGGGTGATCATGCACAACAGCCCTCCACATCAGGGGCACCGTACTCCATCATGCTGTTTACTGCGGTGGCCCCGCCATCCATTAGCCATCATAAACACTTCCTTTCAGAAAAGGAAGATCGGGATGCAGACGGTAGCTATAGGTTTACCTATAGGCCGGCACCCTGCTAGGTGGACATTTTGAGACTACCTCTCAGGGTGCGCTTGAGTGTTCTTTGATCAGGTCCTGAAGTGACTGAATGTAGGGACCGGGGGGCTTTTGGAGTGGTCTGCCTTGATTAGTGTGCTCTGTGTGGAGTAAGGTGAGTGAATCAAATATTTCATGATGAGAATGGTGAACTAGGAGCTAATTATTGCAGCTAATTATTGCAGCTACTTATTGCAATAATAATTTTTTCTGGGGACACCTGGGTGGCTCAGTTGGTGAAGCGTCTGCCTTTGACTCAGGTCATGATCCCAGGGTCCTGGGATCGTGAGCCCCGCATCGGCCTCCCTGCTCAGCGGGGAGTCTGCTTCTCCCTCTACCCCTCATCCTGCTTGTGTGCTCTCTCTCTCTCTGCCAAATAAATAAATAAAATCTTTTAAAAACATGATTAAAAAATAATTTTTTTTTCTGGTTCTTCTCTTGGCAGTTTCCCACTTGCATGAAGTTAAATGTATTCATGCAAGTTATTTTGACCAATGACACATGAGAGGAAGTTATCTGTGTTAATTCTGAAGAAAAGTTTAAGAGGCAGGAGGTCATTCTCTTCTTGACATAGCAACTGGTAACGAGAATGGCAACTGCATCTCTACCATCCAGGATCTGGGGATGAGGAGATGTAGAGCCCAGCTCCTAGCTAACCTGTGTGCACCCTAGGGTAACCACAAAGCCAAACCATTAAGAGATACAAAGAGAGCTATAGTGAAAGATTTTAATACACCACTTGTAACTGTTGCAGCAAGGAGAAAAAAATCTGTAAAAATATAAAAGAGTTGAGCAACACAATTAACATACTTGGCCTAATTGACATTCATGGAACACCCCACTCAACAACCCCAGAATCCTCATTCCTTTCAAGGTGTCCTAGAACATTTGTAAAAATTGACTACATACTGTGCTATTATGTAAATTCCAGCAATTGTAACAGGACTGTAATTACACAAAATGTGTCCTCCAATCACAATTAAATTATTACAGAAATCAAAGACAGAATAGTAAAGCAGAAAAATCCACACATATTTTGAAAATAAGAAGTAACATTTTAGATCGTCACTTGCCTATACTGACAAGTTCAGTGATGTGGCTCAGTTCTTCCACTGGGGATAGATGGTAAATTAGATTTCAAAGGATCAATATTCTATAGAAAACCAAAGTGCAATAACATCATAACTAATACCAATAGGATTTCTAAAAAGAGCACATATATTTACAAACTGAACAACATAATAGAAAATAATTATTAGGTTTAAAAGAACATCAAAAAGTGAATTCAGCAACACTTAAAACTGAATGACAGGGAAATTGTTACATGTGGAAATATATTGGACATTTAGGGTAATTTATAACTTGACCTAATCTATAGAAGAAAACACAAGAAAGCCAACCAAAAATAAATAAGCTAATAAGCATTCAACTCCAGAACTTGGGGAAAACAACAACATAGCAACCCCAAAGAATAAGAACGATTAAAACAATAACATAAAATAAATAAATTCTACAGTTAATAAAACAGTAGAGAAGACACACAAAATTTAAAATTGGTAATCTGAAAAGATTAATCAGATAGACAATCTTTCTGGAGCAGGATACAAGAGACAAGATTCAACTGTTGGAAATACCAAGTGAGAAGGAGAAATTTTTTTGGAGACGTTGTAGATTAAAAGCTAAGAACAGAAAGAATAACTCTATGCTAAAAATTTGGGAAAACTGGATAAACAAATATATTCAGATTCCTAAAAATATATACAGTGTGTATTCAAATCTCAACTCTGCTACTCATAAGCTATGCGACCTGGAAACATTTCTTATACTATAAGTCCTGGTGTCTCCAGCTATAAATGGCCAAAATGACAGAGAAACCTCATGGAGTTTAGGGGCTTACCAAATCAGATCATGCATGCAAGTACCAGACGCTCATATATTCAACCCATAACAGCTATTAATATCATTATTTGCTTACACTTTTAAATGCTATCTTAATTGTGCAGCATTCTGAAAAGGTTAGCAAACCCAATTGGTCAATAAAAGTAAGTTACACGTATATACAATGTAAATGCAGAAGAACAAAATAACATTATGTACAGAGAACAGACTGTCCTGCGGAGGGGGAATCAAAGTTAGATATTATATTGTATAAATATCTAAAGCACAGTATCAACCAATATTACAAAGTACTCATGGGGGAAAAACACTAAAAATTGTGCAAACTCCATATGACGAGAACTGCACACGTATTAAAGCAACATCAGTGAAACTATATGAAGAAGGAGGCAGATCAAGTTTTTATGTTGGACTTCAGGTCCAAATCACAATGAATTCTATCAACTTAAAATTATTGAAAACTTTATTATTTGTCATTAAATTTCTGGGCACATCTTGGTCCTTTTCTTGACTTTCTGTTTGCCAATGACCTGTTAAGCTTGGCATGTTTTAATTAGAGAAATGGCTGTAATTAAATATATTTAATGTCTTATCTGAAGGAAACATACTGTTTTATTTTTTCAATGTCTACTCTTAATTATATTTTGTTTTTCTAATTTTAGTTTTCTTTTTGAGAGAAAGAGAGAGCAAGTAGGAGTGCAGAGGGGCAGAGAGAGAGGGAGAGAATCTTAAGTAAGCTCCACACCCAGCATGGAGCCATTTGTGGGGCTCGATTTCACAACCCTGAGATCATGACCTGAGCAGATATCAAGAGTCAGACGCTTAACTGACTGAGCCACCCAGGCACCTCCACTCTTAATTGTATTTTAAATAAAACTGACGATGATTTGTTCCAAAAAAGTACATTCTGTATGATAAAGTTTCATTTCAAACCAGAGGAGATGGCTTTATTTTATTTTATTTTTTTTAAAGATTTTATTTATTTTCATGAGAGACAGAGAGAGAGAGGCAGAGGGAGAAGCAGACTTCCCGCTGAGCAGAGAGCCCGATGCGGGACTCGATCCCAGGACCCTGGGATCATGACCTGAGCCGAAGGCAGACGCTTAACCATCTGAGCCACCCAGGCGCCCGATGGCTTTATTTTTTTAAAAAACATAGTGGGAAGCCCACTTGTAGAAAAATACGATTATACTCTGTTCTCATATCTGACCCCAAAATTAATTCTAGATGATTAAAGATGTAAGTGAAGAAAGGAAACAATAAAGATACTAAAGTAAAATAGGCCTTAATAATTATATAAACTTTGGGTTGGACATCCTTCAAAAGTATTGTACCAGACACCTAAACCCAATCACGATGCATTATAGAGAACTACGTAAAATTTAATCTCAGCTGATAAAAAAGGTAAAAAGCAAAATGGTAAAACAAGTCTCAAACATAATTAAAATTCAAGGTCATCTTTGAATATAGATGCAAAAATGAACTAAATCACCAGTGCATAGAATCCACCAGCATATTAAAATATATGCCTACAACACCATGATTAATTAAGGCATTTTCTATGAAAGTAAAAGTGGCTCAGTATTACAAAATCTATTAATGAAACTGATCATATGGGTAAACTTAAGAGAAAATGCGTTATAAATAAGGAAAGTATTTGATAAATTTTATTCAAAAGCATTGATGGATATGTAATTAACTACCAAGATACTCAGATTTGTAGTAGCAAAAAGTGAAAAACAACTTAAATATAGAGAAATAAGGGATGTTTTATAAATTTTATAAATCTAAACTCTGGATTACTAATCAGTCAGGAAAGGTTATGATACAGTCAAATATTTCTTGATATGCAAGCATGTTTATATTTCTAATAAAAAAAAACCCTGTTTTTTTATCAGTATCAGTATCACTGTCTTAAGCAGTATGTACATCATAATGTTATTTTTATACATGAAAAATTATATGTACATAGACATAATCAAAAAGTAGAAAGATAGAGGGCACCTGGGTGGCTCAGTCGGTTAGGCATCTGACTCTTGATTTCAGCTCAGGTCATGATGTCAAGGTCCTGGAATCGAGTCCCACGTTGGGCTCTGAGCTCAGTGAGGAGTCTGCTTGTCCCTCTCTCTCTGCTCCTCCCCCCACTCGCATGCTCTCTCCCTCTAAATAAATAAATTAAATCTTTTTAAAAAATAGAAAGATAAATAGTAATTATCTTTGTAGAGTGAAATTATAATTTTTTTGCTCCTTATGAGTGTGTTTTTCCATGTCTATTAAGTGACCTGTGTTGAATCTATACTAATTTTAATATTATATTGGAAGTGTTACAAAGTACCTCAAGCCCACTAATTTATAATCACTTTGCACTATAATCCCTCAGGATCCAGAATCCGCCTGGTTTAAAATTTTCTTCCTCATGGCAGTCATTAATGTGATATGCCTACTTTTCTGTCTCATCTTTGGAAAAGCAGAAATTCAGGACTGGGCTAAAGATAGACAAGAACACACACGCCTCTGAAGGTAAGAAGTGATCAGCTTGAGGTCAGATTTTGAAACTGGGGGTACAGGAGAGGATGGGGTTGAGGGTGACAGGGTGCTAAGACGGGGACAAGTTCGAGTTTTAGACTAGAATGGGACCACGTCAAGTCTAAAACTCTGGTGTCCTGATGGACATTCAGCCCAGAGGAGGTGCTGCTCTGGGATTCTGGGGAGAGAGTGGGGCCAGGACATAGACATTTGGGAGCCTGGGCCTCTCTAACATTAAGGGTGAGGAAGACAAGGGGAGGCTTTTGAGGGGATGGGAAGGGCCCTCAATGGAGCAGGAAGAACAGCGGAAGAATGAGTTTTCTCAGAACAGAAGTAAAAAAGGTGGGCATGAGCACCCTCAGCAAATGCTACCAAGGGATCAAACTGCATGAGGTCTGAGAATTTACCCATGGATTTGACCCTGATGAGAATGAATGATGGAGACAAAGGGTCTATTAAAGGTCTTTCTTCTCGAAACTCTGTCAGTGGTAAATAAAGACTAGACATGTCTCTTTATAGGATTATTTCAGCTAATACATAAATAAGAATTGATATTTATAGAATATCCTCAGTTTGCAAACTCCAGTGAATGAAGGGATCCAGGTTTTGTGCATCAACAGCTGTTAACATCACAAAGAGAGATTTGCTCATATTGTGTACATCCTGATGAAAGAACACACCCCCTCCAAGGTCTTGCTACGAACACCAACTGGGCACCATCAAGCCTGTAGAGACAGCTGCTATTTTGTAAGAAATAAGGAGACTACAGAATGCACAATGCATTGAACTAAATCCTAAGGACACGGGGCACCTGGGTGGCTCAGTTGGTTAAGCATCTGCCTTCAGCTCAGGAAATGATCTCAAGTTCTTTGTGTGTGTCCTTGTTCCAGATTCTCTGGAATAGAGTTTCACCTTTAAATTCTACCTTTCTGAGTCATTTCACTTCATCTGTGTTTCTTACAAATATTTCACCCACTCTGAGCGCTGCCTCCTTTGCAGAGAGGAGTTTAGCCCAACAGCATTTGTTACCCTTACAAATAGACTGCATTTTTTGTCATTTGATTTTCTATCCCCTTAAAACGATGTCCTCCCTATCTTCGTGGTCCTCCCACGCCTGCCACCTGGCCTGGACCTAGTAACTCAGGTTTATGGTATATTTTAAATGCTGGTTGTGCTTCCACGCTCTGATGAAATCTTTGAAAATGTGTCCATTTTTCACTAGCATGCAATATTTGGCTGCCTTCTTTTCCCTTCGAAAATATCTCACACACTGGACCTTCCTAGTAACTTTTCTCCTGCTGGGGCCCAGTCCCCCTGAGCTTGTAATTCCCCACACACCCCACAGGTGCAATTTCCCGTGTCCTGTTTACCTTGGTGGCCTTCCATCTTCCATCAGGCTGGAGCCCGAGGGAGGGCTGGGAGCTTGAAATCCGCCTTGCACACCCCAGCCCAGATGACAGCCGGCGTGGGGACCCCAGCCCAGGGAGCGGGGTCACTCCGGAGGCGTCTCCCTTGGCCCTGCTCTCTGTTCGGCTGTGCTGAGAGGAGAATGGAAGGCTCTTTGGACAACCTGCATCTTCAGCAGCTTGCAGCATCCCCAGTGTTTCCCCGGGCGCAGGCTGAGACGTTGTTGCAAAGCTGGTCAATCTCAACCTTGCGTCTTGATTGAAGAAGCTGGGGCGGGGGGTGGGGGGGGAATCGGAAAGGGCTGAGTCATAGTCATGTGTCTCCCCTTGGGCCCAGAGCCTGTGTGGCCCAAAGGGCCTGGGCCCCAGAATTGCACGCATCTGTGGCGTACCCCGGCCCCGCAGCCCCCGCCTGGACACAGGTCCCTCTCCCGCTCCCCCTCAGGAAGGAGCAGAGCTCACAGGCAGGTGGCTGTGAGTTGACTCCACTGTCACCTTTTCTTTGGGTCCTCCTTGTTTCGAACTTAGCAAATAGCCCTTGTAGGCTCTGGCTTGAGGTAGTTCCCTCGTTTTCCTCCTTTTCTGTATCTGTTTAGTTGCCTTTTTTAGGGGTGCGGAATTCGAACCGTGGGCTGACAGCATAGGACTGTAGATACTATCAGCCCGGCGGGTAAGCCTTATCAGTGAGGGGCTCCAGGAGTCTGCATAACAAAAGCCTTGGCTCAAGGGTTTGTCCATGAAAAGGTATAGTTATGTGGGCCTCGAATCTTTTAACTTTTGGCATGTTATGTTTTGAGGATATACATGGATTTCATTGAACCAGTAGATTGAGGTGGATGCACTGGGGTCTGTAAAGAGAAATAGAATGCCCAGTTCTGCAGCTGTCTCTGAAGCTGGGGCCAGAAAGAAGCCACAGGAGGGGCAGAAGAGGTTCCCCTCGTGGGGGCACCCGTGGGTGGACTCGGTCCTGTGGCTTCTCCCTCTGACACTATCAGCCACCTGGCCAGTCGGCCAGTGGGATACCAAGGACTTTTGGCAGAGCTTAATCTCCTGCAAGCTTTCCGTTTTTAATTTTTATTTATTTATTATCATTATTTTTAAAATTTTCAATTCCAGTAGAGTTAGCACAAGGTTATATTAGTTTCAGGTGTACAATATGGTGATTGCAGACTTCAGTGCTCCTGCAAGCTTTGCAAATGGGCTGTGTCAGCCAATTAGGGCAGCCCCAGCCTTGCCACTATCAAGGAGTCGTGAGCTCACATGGGGGGGAAGGAGGGAAAGAAGAGTTCCTGGAAATTCGTGCTTTCCTTATGGCCTTACTTCATCTACAGAAGTTTAGTGAAGAGCTGAAGTAGGGATTTGGATTTGTTTCCCAAGCCAGTGAGTTTTAACGACATCATTTTTTTTTTTTTGAATACTTCACATTTGTTCTTCTGGTTTAAAATACCAACTTTTGGTAAAATAAACTTCTATATATTTATAGGTGTTTCTGGGCTTACTATATAGTTTAACATCTGTTGGTACTGGGACCTGTCATGTAATATATTGATGGGCCTAAATTTTTAATGTATGTAAATATTGGGCCAATCAAACATTTTTCGTTTGTATTTTTGAAGATGATATTATGTAATATCAGCTGTTTATTCTCCCAGGAAAATTTATAATCACTGGGCCATTTTAATAAAGACAACTGCAGTATTTAAATTGCACCAAATTAAAATTTAATTGCATTAGATTGCACTAAATCTATTTGGGAGAAACTAAGAACATAGTAAGACCCCCCTCATGACGAATGTGGGTTCAGTTTTTCTTGAGTCCAGTGCTGCAATTTGCTTCCTGTATTTAGCATACATTCCTTAACAAAATTTAATTTATATTTCCTGAATGTGATTTTTATTTATTGTAATTTCTCACACATTTGGGCTGAGATATAAGGAAGGTACTGTTTGAATATGTTTATTTTTTAACTGAAAAACTTACCTGTGGCTAAGTTATCTTGTTAGGATGGTTTGGGAGTTGATTCTCTGGTTTCTAGGTAGATAATCACATCATTTGCAAATAATAATAATAATTTTCTTTCCTCCCTTTTGATATTTTATCTTTTTTTTCCCCTTCTTGAATCATGGCCCTTAGAATTTCCAGAACTTAAATAATGGGTTAATGTTAGTATTCCTCTATTCTTTACGCTTTTAAATGCATACACTCTAGTTTTATTCTTTTTTTTTTAAGATTTTATGTATTTATTTGAGAGAGAGTGAGCATGAGCAGGAGGAGGGCCAGAGGGAGAGAGAGAAGCAGGCTCCACACTGAGCAGGGAGCCC